TAAAGCGCAGCTTGACGCAAAACAAAAATAACATATCCCCGCAGTAGATAATCCTGAAATACGAGCCGTAGATATCAATTCAAGCAGCAGCAACTGTGGTCGGCGAGCAAGAAATTTATTCGTAGATTTGCAACGCGGTATCTCGCCTGTTTGCCTCGAGACACGAGCAACATAACACTTGTTGCACCCCCACGACAGTTGCGAAAGAAACCGGAAACAAACGGCTGTATGAAAATAAAAAAAAAAAAATGTAGGCGATAGCATCTATCGATTATTTTGTGCAGCGTTCTTTTTTAAGCTTTTAATGGCTTAAAAATATTGTTATATTGACTTTGCTTATACATGACGCACGAAAACGTCGTTGAAGTGGCTTTCGACAAAATTGACTTTATTACATTTATCGATTATAAATGTAAGCAATTCTTATAAAATAATTTTGCTGAAGCAACTAAAATTTTTTTGATCACATTGACGAAATATTTGTCAAATGCACGAATCAAATGCAGAAAATAATGAAATCGTAGCGATAATTATGTAAATGTAAACGTTACTTTTTCGAGAAAGCAATTTGCGAGAATTGTATTTTTTAATGTTTATGTTTTATTTAGAAATCAAATATCTGCGCGAGTAAATTTTATTTAATGTTAACAAGCATTGCGACCGCGTAAATATATAATTTATCGCGCAGTTCTTATCTGGTATCGCGAAAATCGTAATTTCGTGCAGTGAAAAATTCAGAGAGAAAGGGAAAGAAGGAGTTTCACAATGATAACAGTTTAAATTACATTCCGCACATGCGCTTCCGCATAAACAACTTTTATTGAGATTTTAACTTTGTTGTACTGTGCACAAACGTTAGTCATACTCCTGCATTTCTGGCTCGGACAGACAGTAAATTCCTTTCTTCCTTTTTTGCCCTTTGATCAGTGGCTTTGTTATCGCAAAATATTATTGAATCTATCCGCAGGCTGTTTAATAACTGTCTTCTTCCTGTTCCAATTAGCGTGAACAAGAGATTGAATTTTACCAGAGATAATCCGCATTTAATTATCTCTTCTCGCTTCGATCATTAGCTTTTATCTTTCTACCCTTTTTCTCCTTTTCTCTTTCTTTCTCGTTGTCTCTCTCTTTCCTATCTCCCATATTGCAAAAACGCCAACGCCAATCTCTGCGTATCAGATGAACGGAAATAATTAGCACGCTGGATGAAACTCCCGAGTGCTCATATTAAGAACGCAAGCAGAATATGTGCAAAAATTTAAAAATACTTTTCATCCTCATTTAATTTCACCTGTGATTTTTATTAAAATTAATTCTTATTAATTGTATTAGCATTGGAATGTATAATAATCTTTATGTAAACTCTATAATAATGTAATTTTTATTATCGTACTTTGAATGTTATATTATAGAAAATTATGATTCCCATCCATTGAAATTAATTTTCTGTCGATATATAATAATTGCAATTTATCATTATTTCAGGATCATACGATGAAACCGATTAGATAAGGATAGTTGTTTTAAGTATGAATTGCTACACAATTATAAATACACTAAAAATCATCATTGTCAAAATAGCTATATCGCAAAATTAAATCTCATGCAGTTTTTTAAAATATATTTGCCGCTTAAATATATTAATATAAATATATTAATATAAATATATCAATATAAATATTTGTTAGCTTTCTATTTAAAAAATTTTTAAGATACTTCTTTTCCAAATTAAAATAATTTTTTTAAGTCGCTGAAACTTATTCTTAGTTCTTTAATTGCGAATTTTTTAAACTCTAACTTTATAATTCAATATAATATGACATTATTATATTGAATAAATATATATTACTGTATTATATACATATATATATTCAATATTATTCAATAATATTGATTATGACAACATAATTGTCTCACATATATTAGCTCAATGTGTATTTACACAAACAAATGGAATATTATGCAATTTTAAAACGCAAATGCATAAATATCGCCGACTCATAAACCTTTTTTACAATTTAAATCGCAAACTGTAACAATGCATTTTTCGTGCGATATACAAAGTAATTTAGGATAAGCTGATCGTTAAATATTATTCGTCGTTTAAGCCACGAAGAGCAACGTGCTTGCGCAATGTATTAGGAGATAACACAAAATGAGGAAAAAGGAATAAAATAACGTTCTCAAAAAAGAAAAAGGTAAATGCTCGAGAAACTGGGTCACTGAGAATAAAGTTATGGAATAAAGTCTGCAGTTATATAAGAACGCAAACTTTGCTGGTCGCTAATAATTGTAGAGGGAATTGATAAAGCCAAGAGAAAATTGCGTTAACCTATATAAATTTTGTATCTTTGCCAATCGCGAATGTGAGTTATTTCTCTTGTATTTTGCATTTGAAAATACTTATATGCATTGTAGTACATTAAAATATTTTGCATGATCAGCTATTCGCGCACATTTGACTAATGTATACGAAATTCATTTCACTCAAATTATTATTATCATTAGCCGCACGTTGCAATTATTCAGACAATCTATTAAATCCTATCAAACCGTTTATTTTTATTAAAATAACATAACTGCAATTTTGCACATTTGAATGATACGCTAATGCATTGTACATTACATCGATTGTAAATGAATTTTCGATCAACAAAAATAACTTATTGAACAAACTGCTTAATTATCCATAATATTATCTCGCAATATATTGATTTGCATTATTATATATAACGTATCGTGAAAGATTCTACAATCCAGAATTGTTTTTCCGAGATTTTCAGATTGAGCTGAACATTTTCAAAAGAAGAAAACTTAATGTTTGCACACAGAAAAAGATTATTCTTAAATCAACCATAATATACTCATATATAAAAGCCAAAATATTGTAACTTTGCTTTAGAGATATTAATTAAATTTTTTTGATGCAAGTATTACTTTGCACTCAATTCAAGACTTGTTCAATCTTACATAAATCTTATACAAAAATCTTACATTAATATAAATTCAGTCAAGTCAAGACTAAAATTTTTAAAACAAGATTATAATATTTTTGTTTATTTTTATGAAGTATATTAAGATTGATTTAAGAACAGTCTTTTTTCTGCACGTACGACAAAAGCATAAGAGATTACGTGAACGTTATTATAAACACGGAATTTGCAGTATGCTATGTTGTTCCAAATTTGGTATTTATTGCGACACGACATTGATGATAAATTTTATCAACGAGAATTTTTCACGCTAGCCCGTAAACAATTACAATAATCAAACATTACAGTTGAATTTAATTGCCAATATCTCGCCGCTGGATGGAGGTCACTCTAATTTGCGATCGCATTATTATCGGCAATACAGTAGGCATACGGTGATTCACTCTCGGACTGATCTATAGGGTCTATTTGCGAGCGGCAAATTGTGTACTCTACCTGGTATTAGGATTGCGTCCGTACGCGAACGGCGGTTTAATAACGTGCTCGCCGATCGACCGCATGTCAACTGGACGAGCACTTGTCAATTCCAACGACGAGAGTCATCGATCATGCACGAAACGTAGGGTTAAGTAATCTGCATCGTCAAGCAGACAGCCAAGCTGTAGACGTGTAATGCCGGCGGCAGGAAGGGTTGCTCTTGTAGTTGCACAGGGTGCTGGTTCACCCTTTGATATGCCGTTGACGGTACGCTTAGAGAAAATGAACTGACATGTATATAGATTTGAAGAGCTAATTGCCTAAATCTAGATATCTCTAGGTTTATTCGCGTTGCTTGCACTCCTTACACTCGATATCTTCATTTTCTCTCTTTTCAATACAGGAAAATTTGTTTATTTTGTCTTAAGTGCAAAAAATTTGGAGGAATTTTAAATAACACAAATAGGCATAATTTTAATCCATCTTGATATTAATTCTAGAATTCTTAATATCGCGGTTTGAATTGAATATCATTTTTAAAAATAAACCTACATCTTTTCGTTCACTGTAAGAAATAATGATTCCAGTTGTAAACTTCCAAAAGTGTTGCCAACAAAAATGTGCTATAAATTTAAATAGTTATATTGCAAAATTACAATAACGTTTTG